ACTTAGAACAAGGAACTCGACTTAGAAAAATACTTAGAACTAGACTTAGAACTCGACTTAGAACTCGACTTAGAACAAGGAACTCGACTTAGAAAAATACTTAGAACTAGACTTAGAACTCGACTTAGAACTCGACTTAGAACAAGGAACTCGACTTAGAAAAATACTTAGAACTAGACTTAGAACTCGACTTAGAACTCGACTTAGAACAAGACTTAGAACTAGACTTAGAACTAGACTTAAAACTAGACTTAGAAATAGACTTGGGCGTCGGGACGTAGCGAAAACGACATCGCAGATTATTAAAGGCAGGTACATTGCAGCAGTGTACGATGGTAAATAGCCAGAGCACCAGCCGCTTGAATTTAGCCATTTGTTTCACTAATTCGGCGACGAGGCCAGTCAAGAAAGTCGTACCGAGCGCCGAATTAGTGAAACAAATGGTTGAATTCAAACGGCTAGACATGAACTCCACTGTTATTACTATGCTCTCATTATGACTGAACCACGCGCCCTATCACCACACTAGATTTTGTATGAGCCCAGGCCCCTCTATACGGCCTTCGTTTCGTGAGTTCAAAATGAAGATAAAAAAAAAAAATGGAAGCGCACCTATTTCAATGACGCCATCTTCCTGAGTCGTGGCGATACAGCACTGCGGAATGCAAAAATGTTTCAGCTTCGACTTCAGCAGGCGTGCTATGGCAAATATGTCTTCCTGTGCAAACTCGTACCCTGAAATGCATAAAAGCATGCCATGATTGTTCATCAGTTGCCTAACCGTAGGCAATATGAGAGCAATTACCTTTACCACTGTACATTTGAATTTCAGATTTTAGTGTCTTTGAGGTTTGAAGGCAATAAAAATCGCTATTAAAGTGAGTAGGAGGAATGATTCTTTTTTTATATCGACTAGCCGTAAACTGCCTGCCGCAACTGTTTTGCCACGCGCACTCGATAGATTATGCAATAGGTGTCTGAACGACGGAGACAATCATCTACTCCACACTAACGAGTCCCATCAGAACGCAGCACTGCATATCCCGTCGAAGCACAACACAATACAACATGACACAACACAACACAACACAACACAACACAATGTAGTGCAATGCAACACAATACAATACGACGCAACACAACACGACACAACACAGCGCGACACAGTACGACGCAAAGTAACGCAACGTAACACAACACAAACAAGTCCCGCATTAGCGACAGTGCTGTTCTGAGGTCTGCTGCTCTACTGTACTGGCCTTCGTTTCTGCAAAAGGTTGAAAGCCTGTTCTATCGCTAAACCGGCTACGTCATCATCAAAACTGTGTAGCATAGGTATTAACACTAAAAACTAAACCCTAACAATGCATCCTACTTCATACCTGCTCGACCGTCTTATATATTCGTGTCATAATGTATCACTAGGCCTATAGTTGCCGCGAGATGGCGCGTGCAAGTGTAATCAATAATCAAAGATAGCATCGCCCTTCGTGCATTGGTGATAAATCAAGAAAGTAGAGATAACCTAATTCCATTGAGTTGCTGAAATTTACAGGCTAAAATCCAAGTATATTCAGGCAGGCGACAATTTCGCTCAGCTGTGAGTAATAAATTAAACACATCTGCATTGCAGGTGTGCATGTTCATTAGAAAAGTGCCAGTTCACCCCCATGCATGAGTAATGGGTTGCCCCCAGGTTTTTGCCTACATTTCGGATGACGGTAGCCACGCGAGCATTCAGGGTGCTATTAATATACAGACTGCTTTAGAAAATAATATTATTTAAGGAGTGTAAACCTTGTTCAACAAACTTTTGTCTTTGCAATTGAACTGCAAATGTAGCCTCACATCCACACAGGTATGCCGTATGGGCTCTAATAATAGCAAAAGCAGTTCAGTACTTTGTTAACAGTCAATAAATCCATGTTTAACCCTCCTCTTGAGAGTCAAAAGGTTATCAGACACTTACTCTTCTCATGTCAATGGAAAGCACATTTCATAGTCCTTTCAATAAAGTGATAAAAATGGTAGGTCAGTGCTGAAACAAAAAAGTTTTTCACTCTGTCCGTTAGGCCATGTCCTCAGAAAATGTCGGATATCTGACCTTTCCCCCACTGCCCTTTGACCTGTGACCTCCAATTTCGCACTGGTGATGGGTTTCCTGCCCATCACACTATACACCGAATATTAAGAGCATAGGTCGAGCCGTTGAGCAGATTTGTGCTGCAATTCCGTATTTCCTCCTATACCTTAAGTTAAGAGGGAAATATTCCCCCTCCGTTGACACATCTTGACATTTGACCCTTGACCCCCAAATTGGTCATCCCGAGTCCTTTTCACGATTCCCCCCCCCCACATCCCGAATATCGTCACCGTACGTCGAGCGGTTAAGATTTGTGCCCAACTGTTTGACGCACGCACGGACGGAAGGACGGCCGGATGGACGCACGATCATGCGATTCTACAAGCTGCATCTGACTACGTCAGATGAGCTAAAAAACAACAACGCCAGCACAAATGCAAACACAATCGCGAAAAACGTTCGCAAGCACAAACGTAAACGCGACAGACACCGGTGACGATCTCACGCGCTCTGGCAAGCGTCCTGTGACAGCCCAGCGGGACGCCCCCCCTCCCCCCCCCCCCCGCCCCCCACACACACGTACCGATGAGCGTGAAGCTCTCCAGATTCTTGCACTTCCACGCGAGCAGCACGAGTTCGTCCTCCTCGTCGTCGTCGCGGTACTGCGCCGGCTCGCGTTCCACGTCCCTCAGCACGCACAGCGACCGCAGCGTCGCCGCGTAGTGCTGCCGCGCGAAACCCAGCGCCGACGACGACGACCCCGCCGATCCGCGGAACGGCGACGCGAACACGAACGCGAGAGCGGAGACGGGCGCGCTCGGCTGCAGGATGCTCGCGTCGTCGCCGTGGCAACCGTCGACGTCGAAAAAGGTGACGTGGACGCGGAGCGCGGGGCTGTGCGCGCGCAGACACGCCCACGCGTCGTCGCGGATCGGGTTGGCGCGCGCAAGGTCGGCGACGTGCTCGTACACGTGGTTGTCGGTGGCGACGAAGACGCGGAGGAGGCGCAGGGGATGCACGCCGGGACGCGCGAGCGAATCCAGCAGGCTCTCCGATAGCTGGAAGATATCGAGAACGAGTTTACACGCGGAAAGCAAGAAGAGAATCACGAAGGAGTTTTCAAAGGAATTAATTTTCGTTTTTTTCGGAAGGCTAGAAGTGGAAGAGAGCGCCGTTGAGTGAGATTGTGTTTCGATGGTTACAGCAGATGCACACCGGGCAGAGCGAGCGACTCAAGCAGGCTCTCAGACAGCTGGAAGAAATCAAGGAGGAGTTTACATGCGAAAAGGGAAAGAGACAATCGTGCAGTGGCTTTGAACGATCACGTTCCGATTGGGCTAGGATTTATTTCGTTGTTCACAAAAAATGCTTGCAGCGGCAGTCGAAATGAGAATTTTTTTTACTCGGATAGCCCTGGGCGAAAAGGCATTTATTAATGTGCCAATATAAATGCATGAACGGAGTCGAGGGGTTTATTTATTCATAAATATTAGTACGTACTTGGAATACTTTAGTAGTTTTGTTGTATTAAATTGGTATTCTTTTGGCAGAAACACTGGAACTAGTCTTAAATTTTTGCATGTACTGCTAATTTTGTACCTTCAAATCATAAAAACAGCATTCTGCGCAAGTTTAATTTTATTACATATATATGTGTAAATCAAACTTAAAAGTACTTCTGTTTCTCGGGTGACTTACATGATCCAAAATACAACATACCTGCCCTCCAATGTAGTCTAAGCTGAGTTCCGACAGATTCGTAAAAGCTTGTAAGTTACCAATGTTGTAGCAGTGCTCAGTATTCACCTTTGTGATGATCTGCATACCTGATACCGACGCCAGATGCAATTTTTCTGTAATGTTAACGTATGTAATCAAACAACATTAATTAAGACAGAGCTAGTAAATACTGTAAAGTTGTAAACCACTGAGCAAATTACAGTGATCCACCTACTTTGGGTTAACAATATTTAAAATTTGTCATCAAAGGAAAGTTGGCACAAGTTTAATAAAGCTAAATGAGCTTAATCACTAAAAGACAACACTGTCATATATTATGGTGACTGCAATTGTGCCGGGGCATGATGCCACTAAGACTATATCCTGAACATATATACACTCTGAACACGTGATTTCCACCATGTCACTTGTCATCCCAAGGTTGCTATTTCAGAAATTTGCCACTCTACACTGGTGCTACTTTTGCACCAATAATTCTCATGACACCATACAGTCTTGAAGATGTTGTTGATTATACGAAAACTATAGATGTCATGGCCCAATACTAGTTTAGCACCATGGCCTAGTTTATCACATTTGCAAAAATGAGGCCTGGGGTCCCAAACTATAAGATTGAGTGGATGTCACTCACCAAGCATAGCAGCATGGCATTTAGCTAGACGTTGAACCAATAGCGGCGCACGGCACAAGCAACTGCGTAAACCGCCGAGACTAAATTCCGTCAAACTCTGACTGTCTGTGACGAGTCTCAGCAACGCATCAACGAACCTAAGAAGTAATTTAAGATGTTATCAAACTTGATTAGTTTCGTTCACTCTCAGCTGCAATTGTAAATCTGTGAGATGGAAGTTTACTCAGTATTTGGGCACAGTTGTCCAATATAGCATCATGAACAGATGTACCCCTGTGAGGCATACATGTGTCATGTGTCATCACAACACTAGTATGTATATACCACATGTTCATGGTAGCACTATGCCACTAACTGCGAACATGACATGAGTCTTCTCTTCTCACATGATATGCCATCATATGGCATGCTATCACTATAAATTAGGCTCATAGGGTCTATGTCCCCCAGGGTACGTTCCGGCCGTACCACGGGGGAGATAGACCCTCTCAGCATAAATTAGTATAATGTGATATGGAGCGATGGTATAATAACGTATATCTGTAATCACAAACGTAAAAGTAAGAAATCACCTGGATTCGCCGTCGTTCCCTAGGATAGCATAGTATCCATTCAGATAACTACCAACGCCGTTGTTTTCGTTCGGTAACCAATAATTACGATTGTGATCTTTACCCTCGGTGTCGAATAGAGCATATAGATCGTCGAAAACCGCCGGTGTACGACACTGAACAGATATCTTTCGGATCTGTTTTGCGGGCACAAGCTTTAGTACCTCGACGACGCGGTCGACTGACTTCATGTCATCAGTAAAATGAGCGACTGTCAGCGAAAACCGGAGGGTCAGTTCGCGAATGTGTCTACCAATTTGATCAATAATAAATTTCAGACCGGAGACTTCATCATCAGATGAATTTATAAAAGCCAAGCTGACAGACCGCCACAGTCTGCAATTGAACAAGTGCGATCGCCACTGTCTGCACGTAGAGCAACTACTAATTATATCTTTTCGGTGGAGGTACTGCAATATTTCGATAAAGACTACACTTGGAATTTCGCTCCAATCAGCCATGCTGCTTTCTGTTGTTGCGTTGCTACACCGAAAAGCACGGATACTCAAAATAAACATTTTATATAAAATCCAACACTGTCTGAGTATAATAACGCATATTCCACTATGTAAATACAAGTTTCTATCAATTTTATGCAAAATACGGTATAAATATATTATAATTATTGCCGGTGGCTAATTTTCTAACGTGGCCGCGTTCATTTTTCACCGGCTTGTCCCTCTAACATAAATAACAATGGCAGATAACCACGAAGAAATGAACCAAAACTTGCCTAATGATTATGATGCTGGTAATAATGCAGTCACGAATATAACTAACGGAATTGATAGTCACACTAACGGAATTTGGGACGAGGTCAACATGGAGACAGTAGATGACGACGAAAACCCACAACGTCAAATTAGCCAGACCGATCATCTCAATAAACAACTTCTCGATTCCTTCCTGAAAAGACTCAACGAAAATGATGATCGGCTCTCGGGAGACACGTCGGGTTCTGCTCGCGACTCTGCCGAGATGACAAGCACCGAAACAGGCGAAAGCCCATGGGAAGACGACAATGATAAACATTCTCATGAACATTAACACACAAATTAATAATGTCACTATAATTCCATTGCCATAATGCCTGTAATGCCATTGGCATTGCCATTGGATTGGTGCATCATTATTATCATGGACTGCAAAGACCATCGTCTTTATAGGGCACATCACACTGATAGTCCTAGGACGTATTAATATGAGCGTCTATAAGCAGTCATTTAGCATTACATATGCTAATGAATAAGTGACACAATGAGCTGCACAGCAGTGGAGGAATGGCGTGTGAAACGTGTCACTAGATTATAATCTGTCCTCGAGTTTGAGGATGTTGGAAGACGTCCCTTCTAACTTCATAACCTCATAAATATTAGTCTTCAAGGTCCAAGGAACTATATCAAAGAGAGAAATAGACAAAAGTGATCAAACTGACAGATTCAAACACAGAAGCTGGCACTTAACTCTTAAGCGATCCTTAGAAGATGGCACATGTCGAAAGCAATGGTCACGCTCAGATGATCGAAATTCTCTGTGCAAAGAGATCATCTGCACTAATCGCTAAAGAAGTTGCATTTTACAAATTTGTGGATGATGCAGATGAGATATTGACTTCACTCCGGGAACACCTAGCAGCTGGGATTTAATCATTCCTCTCAATCAGCATCAGACCCCAGAAGAAGATAGAGATGGGTTCTTTTGAACTAATGCTTAACCTCGTAACCTCGTAGTGTTTACTCATGAAAGTCTATACCGAAGTCGGAGAGGTGAATTCATATGGAGAGCATACTTCGTCGAATTCACGTGACAATGACGTGAATCGAGCTTCTGTTGCATGTTGGAAATGTCTATACAGTTAACTTGTAAAAAAGAATTGCGTTTATACAGGGTCTTCGCCGCGTTTTTATAGCAAATAAATCGGGTGTGTGTAACAATGGCTGCCATCCTTTGCACAATTTATGATGTGCAGTATACGTGGCATTGGATATAATTGGTATTGGTTATTGCAATTGTAATGGGTAATTGGAGATAATTTACAACCACATGATCATGATTCTATCTCTGATTAATTGCTATGATTCAGTTTTACTGAAAATAAAATATACGTCAAAATAGGCGATTATCTCATCTATTGTGTTCAGGAGCCAATGCGAGTGGTTATGGTTTTAGCAACATGAATGAAGGGAATAAAATGAGGCAGGTTACACCACTGTACACTGTTGTTTCTCCTGCTCCCTCTCCATCATCCTGATTTGTAAAAAAAAAAAACAGAGCCACCAAAATGTAAATAAATTTAAAACACAAAGTAATGGTATAAGCAAGACTTGTCAATTGATAACATTAGAATTGTGGCCATTACTGTTCAACACGTTGACACACTGATAACTACTCGCATTAGTGTTAACAAACTACAAAAGTTTCCATAGGCATGTTAATGTTCAATCCATATTCTTTGTGTCTATGAAACTACGTCTACCTTCTAATAAACCAGTAAGACATCAAAATGATGTAGATTTACGAAACGTAATTCTAAAGGCAACTATAGTAATAATCAGTAACTATTTATATGATTCTAGTTAACTTATAGCTAACATGAAATTATAAAGTACCGTTTTTAGATTGAAATAAACGTTATCATTTCTGAAGATTCCAGTTAATAGGTGGCGCTACTTGTTTAATTCACAATATTCTCGTAAAACCATATAAATGTATAGAGGCATTTACGTATGTACGTATATGGTGCCTTACTGGTGTATTGTTTCCATGCATAAAACCAATTAGCATATATTTCTCTAGCTTATTACGACTGTACCTAGCTATCAATATTGACGTGTTCGAATAAATTGTGGCATAATTATAATGTGTAGTGTCTAGCGACGTAGCGTGACACAGTCACACTATACACAGCTTCGACCTTCGGGCGCGCACCGTCAGTTCCTTTGTTTCTCCCGCAAGATGTTACCGCAACTGTCGCGCGTACGACATAATACCCCTGTCACACCTTCCCGCGATCACGTTCGCGCTCCCACTGCGACCTGAAAAGTATGAAAGCGCGAGGAAAAGCGCAGTAAGGTCTCTGAGAACGAGTTGGTAACTGGTTGAGACGCAGTGGAAACTGTCAAGAACGGAAGAGGGTCGCCATGAGCTACCTGGAGCGCCAAACCTCGGCGCTTGTGTTGGTCCGGATCAAAACAAGCGCAGCGGGTCGGCGCTCTGTAATGAGCGGTGTAATGACGCAGTATACAGTCGCCGTGGCAGCGCAAAGCGAACTACATGAGCGTATCGTGGACGTAGCAACAACGCATAGAAGCGACTTGGGGTCGCAGAAATCGTCCCCTGCGACTGGTTTGCGACTGCTGTACGCTCATTGGGCTCTCCACACGTGCCTCTCCCGTTCTTATTGCGCCGTTACTGCGCTTCCACTACGCTTTATTAACTTGTTTCCGCTCATTCTACGTCCACACTGCGCTGCCACTGAGACTATGACGCTCGTGATACGTCCAAGGCGTTGTTCCCACGTTTGCAATAGGCTCACAGAGCGTTCTTATTACGATCCCACTTCCACTGACCCCCCCCCCCATTTTTGTATATATACAGCTTCATCTTCAGTGTGGATCTGTTCTTCACCATGGCCGCAGACAGGCAGAATGTGCTAATTGTACTACAGTTATGGTTATATGGGTTATTATGGTTTATAAAGAGGGCCGGGTTACATGTAGCTGTGTGCGTGTGGTGTATGCACCGATTGTTTCATTCGCATTGTTAACCCGTGGACCGTGGACCGTGGAGACGATGGAGACGACCTTCCTCGACCTCTGCCTCTTCTTTTTTGGCATAGTGCATACACTACTAGGCTACTACAGGCTACTACTACTGCTACTACTACAGGCTACAGGCTACTACAGCGGTTGAATGTATGCTGATCATGAAGGTCGCAGAAGGCTCTATATATACACGCCGCGCACGCGCAGTGAGCGAGTTGCAAGCGTAGTAAGAGCAGCGAGAGCGCAGCGAGAGCTAATTGGACGCACTAAGAACGCACAGAGCGCAGTGGGAGCGCACTGAGAGCGCACTGAGCGCATTGAGAGCGCACTGAAGATCAAACTGGGAACGAGTCAAGAGCGTACTGTAAGCTACTGTAAAGCCACATGGTGTCACGTACCGCGGTCACACCACGCCAAGGATTTCGCTTCGCCACGCATGGACTGCGCTTTTCCTCGCGCTTTCATACTTCTCATATCAGGTCGCAGTGAGAGCGCGAACGTGATCGCGGGAAGGTGTGACAGGGGTATTATAACGTGGGATGTCCTGCACATGAATTCCGCTAGACACCTCGGCAGCGTGCGGCCGCTCAGGACCACCTTCCGCACCTGTGACCGCTACCGTGATCGCATCCATTATTAATGAGATATGTTTTGGTAGTCATATAGTTATAATAATATGCAATTGAGTATAATATTGGTCGCTACAAATGAACGTCTCGTTTGATCAGCCCGCCAAAAATCAAATATGTCTACGCCCGCATTTAAAAAAAATCTGAAGAGTAGTTATTTACGCGACTAGACAGTGCATCAATTAGATTTTATAAAACCGTGAGCGGAGGGTACAAAAAACCAAGTTGGTAGCTTGTTACCGTATATTTCAGAAGCATGCATGAACTCGCGACTGTAGCTGATTGAATGCGCGAACACTATTACGCTGTGAGCGATATCCTGGCGAAAGACCAACAAGGATTTATAAGTAATTTGTTCTCCGAGACCTGGTTGCTGTAATATGGCAGATTGCCTCTATATGCATTTAGTAATGTATGTGCGCTTTACCTTGCAAAAACACGAATATATTAGACTGACGAGCATGTACCGACACAGAAGCCTACGGGGTGATATATAAATACACATGAGAGACAGCGTTGAAGATTTTCCATCGCCGGCAAACCTACTTCAGCTTCACGAGCCTTTGTGTCAGAAATTAGATTAGCGTAAAGAAATCTTGCCCTCGGGAATTCATAAAAATGTTCCCCAAGTTGCTTGTGGCGGGAGAAAGTTTCAACACGAATGAAAATATCGACCCTTTGCCACCTCCCCTATTTACACCTGTCACTCTTTCCCTTCCTTCATCTCTCCCTCCCCTTCACATTATAGAAAATATTTGAATCGCAAAGGAGTTTTATTCATTCGAGAATGACATTAAATGACGTATAATTCCGCAAGGTTACTTATTCTACGCAGAGCCTTTATTAAAGAAAAGAAAATGCCCTTATTACCTCATTTTCCATTCCCACCCCTCAACCTTCCCACCTTCCCCCTTCCCATCTGCCTGCTCATTTCTTTTCGTCTCTACCACACAATATTCTTCCATTCGTGCAGTTCTTCCTACATTCCTTTCTTTCTTCCTTCCTTCCTTCCTTCCTTCCTTCCTTCCTTCCTTTCTTCCTTCCTTCCTTCCTTCCTTCCTTCCTTCGTTCTTTCATTCCTCC